ATATATATATAAATGGCGTGTAAGCCCATAACTAGCGTGGTATTAATTTGCATTTTCTGATACTAGTTATCATGAGCGTCTTTTCTCGAGTTCACTGGTCACTGGAGTCCTTGAACACATGAGTTTTGAAGTAAGAGACCTCCCTGACCCTTGGAACTGCCTGTCCATACCCTTCTTTCTCATTGCAGTATTTGTCATCCAGTTGATTTGAACAAGTCCTTTACATACATGTTCTGGATATTCTTTGCCAGTTACGTGTTGCAAATTTATGTATTATGGCTTCGCTGTAGGTTTTGATCAACAGAAATGTATTAGTTTAGGGTATCCAAGAGTTGCCATTTTCCACATGATTTGTGCTTTTGTGACTGAAGAAATTTTTCCCTTTGAAGCCAGAGACATAGATTGGAATCCCACTGGAACTCCTGCTGGCTGTGTGGTGTTGGGGAGACACTAATATACCAAGACCTCGGTTTCCTCCTCTGTAAAATGGGTGTCATGATTGCATGCATCGCCCAGGTTATTTTGAGGGTGCTTATAAAGCAATCCGCACAGCACCAGGCACACCAGCTCCCCTTCAACGCACACAGACACCCCACTGGGGACACAGGAGGAGGAGTGAGAATACCTTGCTCTCTAGCAGATCTGCACTCTGCCGGAGTTCATTCCTTGACTTTTCAGATTTTTCCAGCTTCTGCCTCAGCACTGTGAGCTCCTCCTGGCAAAAACAAACACTTTCCTAGAAGCTATTGCAGACCAGAAACACACATTCCACTTAGGCTATGAGTGATTCTCCGTTCGAGTGGAGAAATAAGATCTAGTGATCACTCGCATAGAACGGTGATTGCAACTCAAAAAATGCGTTCTGTATTTCAAAATTGCAAAAAGTAGATTTAGGACGTTTTTCCCACACAAAAAGAGTTAAGTCTATGAGGTGGTGGATTTGTTAGTCTGACATAATCATCCCACATTATAAATAGGTACCAAAACGTGACATAAATGTGTATAATTATGGGCTGGGGATGTAGCTCAGTGGGGCTGTGCCTGCCTGGCAAGCATAAGGTCCTGACTTCGATTTCTGGTACCAAAATATGAATTATTATTTGTCAATTAAAATAAAATTTAGTTTGTACAAGACCCTGGGTTCAATCACAGGCACTGCAAAAGAATTAATTTTTAAAAGAGTGGCTGCAGAACAGAGAGGACGATCAGTCAGTATATCTGCAGTGACGTCCCAAAACTAAATTCCTACAGGGACATCTGCTTCATCAGGCCCTGCTATTCACACCTCCACTCATGCAAGGCTGCTCTAGAGCAATGCAGCCTGTGGCTGGGGCACAACCCCTCAGAACTGCTGAATCCAGGTGGGGCTGGCAGGCCGGGCTGCACACAGTGTGCTCAGAGCTTCCTCCGCCCCAAATACCCTATTTCTGCCAGGGGCTCCCATCAGCAACTACTTCAATGTGGCCCCACCAGGCGAGAGGAGCGAGCTACAGGACAGGGACATGAGGGGCTAAACGTACAACTGCGAAAAGGGAACAGGGACCAGCTCAAAAAAAATGGACACAAATGACTTTCAGAGTAAATGTAAGTGTGAAACCCAAGCTGCAGACAAGTGTGTACAGCCGGAACATCCTTTGTCCCAAGTGCCTGGGGCCTGCCGTGGATTTCAGAGGTTTTTTGGATTTTAGGTCTGCATGGACGTTACCAGTTCAGATTTTTGGATCAGGGTGCACAGCCTATCTAGTATTCCGCTTTTTATGTAAGAAAGAAAGGGACTATGTGTGTATGCATTTGCTAATTTTTGCAGGAAAAAAAAACCAACAGGAAGTATGAACAAAACATTCAAAACAGTTGTCTATGAAAGGCAGTCGGTTAACAAGGTAGGTGGGACAGGAAAGGCAGTGGTTTCTGAAAGGTAAGAAAATAAACAGATCAAGGCTTCCACTACGGAGCCTCTCTGGGCTGAGCAGTGAGTGCACCCTGCCTGGGGAGGCAATAACTTATTCAATGCGCACCCTTCACCCACAGAGAAGCTGGGCTGGGAATGGGAGATAAAGGATGATCTGGTGCCGGAAGTACTCAGAAGGGGGCGTGGAGGCCCGCCGGGCTGAGCATTCCTGGATCAGGAAGATTCAGGTCCTGGACATAAGCACTAAGATGAGGGCTGGGCAGGAAGTTACCGCCCAGAGACCTGCCTCAGCAGGGACTGACCTCCTTGGCTCGGAGCTGCTCATTCCCGATGGTGGCACTCAGCAGGGGCCGGAGGGAACCAAGGAGCTGCCACCACGGCCAGTCCTTGACCACCAGGAACACAGCTACATTCTTCTGGATGCACTGTGCAGCCAGCCGGCGAATCTAGAGGGTAAGAATAGAGATGTGAGATGTCCCCTCCACCCAGGAGAGGCGAGGGAGGACAGACGCAGGAGAAGCAGGTTTAGATCACACTCATATAAATTAACCCAGGGCATAAGCTAGTTGAGTGGAGTGGGTCAGTGGAGGTGCCCACAAGTAATGTTCTCACCTTTTCCTGTTTTGCCAAGTGCATATTCTCAAATTCACACACGATGGAGGCACACACAATGGAAAGACTCTATTCTAGTAGTAGTAGCCATTAATAATAACAGTCTCAAGGAAATAGAAGCTAGGATTCATTGACACACGCTATTTACCATTATCTTCTCTCACCCTTAACCAGTTACCAAGAGCTAGAGATGGGACCGAAACCCAGGTCTTGTCTGTCCTGAAAACCCAGCCATATTGTTTCTCTCCGTCATGCAGGCTGTAGAGGAGAAGTTCAGTCTCCAGAGATCACCAAAGAGAGTGAGCCAGGATAACTCAGGACCGTCAGCTCTGCTTGCCCTTTGATCCCAAAGACCTCGGTAGCCTGCTGACCCTTGAAAGTGATTTTCTCCAGGGCTGGGACAGGCTGAAATCGGGAATTGTCCCTGAGGGCTTGGACAAGCTCACAGATACCTCAATCAAAGCCGGTACCCTTGGTTATTTCAGGTCACCTCCTAGCCCACATCTCGGGAAGCATCTCAGTGCCCAGGTATCCCTTGAGCCAGCATCATCGGCAACATCCTGGGAGACACACAGCCCTCGGGTACACCCACACGCACAGGATCACAGCGCGCGCGTCAACACTCTGCGGTACCTTCAGCTTCCTGAATTCCTGGCGAGACAGAAAGCCCCTGCACACTGCCTGGAAGACAACAATGTTCCGAGACACCAGCTTCTCTCGCTGCTTCTCCAGCCTGGAGACCACAGCTGCCTTGAGGAAGACCTAGGGGAAGGGAAGTCTGCGGTGACTTCTCTGCTCAGGAGGGTTGTCTAGAGTGACAGGCGCTTGCAACACAGACCCCACTCTCTTGCATCCACTGTAATATTTGTTCACAGCCAGTCTCTGGTGAGAGTCTAAACATGAAAGCAATTTGTCTCCTGGTAGCTCCTCTTTCCTTTCCTGCAGTCCCTGGATGCTCAGTGTGGTTCACGAACAGGCAGCTTGAGCACCACTTAGGAGCAAGTTAGGAGTGTAGAACATCAGACCCTCTTCCTGGCGTGCTGGGTCAGATTGTGCATTTTAACCCAATGACCAGGGAATCTGCATGCATCTTAATTTAAGAGCCACAGCTAGGACAGATATTCCTGCACTCCCCTGTGCATAGGAATCACCTGGGGAGACAAGGAATGCAAGTTCCCAGGCCTCGTCTCTGACAAGGCTGAATCAGTGGACCGGGAGCCAGGCAAGAGAATGTGCATTTTTTTTAAGTGCCACTGGTGATCAGAGCTGGCAACCCCCTAGAAATACCTCCAGCAAGTCTCGTAAGAAGGGGCAGATAGAGGAAAGGAGCAAGGACAGCCCTCCTAGGTAGAGAGAGAGGGGCTTGGCTGGTGCTCCCATACTGAGGAGCTGCTCAGCCAGCAGTAAAATACAGCTCATGGTACCCGTCGGCCTGCCAGGCCGGGCTCATCAATAATGGATGATCATGATGCCTTCACAGCACTGTGATCAATGCCCGCTCAGCACCCCACAGAGCTGCCTGTGAACAGACCACAGGGAACCGAAGGGGTCCGGGGAAGCGGGGGCACCCGGGGCCGCCTGTCAGCAAAAGCTGAAGTCCCAGAGTCCCAGATGTTAGGGGTGAGGGATTTTCTAAGGGAACCTGAAGCTTTTGGGGAGGGCCTGTCCCAGCTGACATGATAGGGGACCTACAGTTTGATCCATCTGCTCTCTCACCTGCCGTAGGCAAAGGAAAGAAACTAATGGTGGAATTTAAGTGACAAGGAGACAAGTCACTTTTCAGACGACTCCTTGATGCTTGTTTCTAAGAACAGTTCTGTGCATTTCTTTGTCGATGTGGCTCAGAACCCTCAAGGTGTCAGTTTCCCTGGAGTCTCTGGGTAGGCAGCTCTAATTAATTAAAGGTATTATCTAATGTATCTAATTAATTGATGATGGTATCAACTAATGGCTAACATTTAGTGTGTGCTTCCTGTATTCTGGAACTGCACTAAACAACCACTTCACATACAGGTAAAGCACTTTACACACACAATCTAGAGGATAATTATTGTCACTCTTCCATTATATGGAAGGAGAAATGAAAGCTAAGAAAAGCAGTCCTCTACAATCCTCCACTAGCAAAGAACAACCTCAGAATTTATTTCCTCCTGTCTGACTCCAGACAAACCCGTAACTGTCACTGCATGAAATTAACACTTGGGGGACAGCTACATTTTTCAAAGTCCTTCTTTTCCTGTCCCTTTTAATACCTCAAACAGCCCTATGAGAAATCAGCTGTGGAACAGACTGAAGTTCACACAACCAGCAATCATCAATGCCCAGGCTTGAACCTGGAGCTTCCAGCTTATCTCTTGCACCTATTTTCTGTGCTCACATAAGCCTTCATTTCCTCATTCATTAGGATACAAACATCTGAAGTTTGAGGTTCAATTGCAGTTTGATTCCAGTCGGAACAAAGGGTCCCAATCAATTCTCCATTATCTTAAACCTATTTTCAGTAATGGAGATCACTGGGCCAACCCTACTGTGAGCCTTTTACTCAGCAGAGAAATGAAACGAAGCACACCCAACTGGTGTATACTCTGCTTTGCAACCCTCTACCACTTTACAGAAAAAACACTTGCTATCAGCCAGGGCCACGGAGACAATTAGCCTCATTGAATCAAAGACACGAGTGACTCATTACCTATCAGATTGCCTCAATAATGACTGTATTAATTTCACAAGCTAGTGAGTCCCAAAAGCTGCTATAAAAAAAAAAATCAATGATCAAAATGATGACAACACCACTTCGGATTTTACCATAGGTGGCGGGTGCTACCCAAACCACTATTGATTAAGTATGAAGCTTTCATTAAAAAGATAATTGGAAACGACCATACACAGAATGGGAGTAAGTCATCGTCTCTGCAGAATCTTATCTTGATTTTTCTCCTTTTGAGAGCACACTGCCCACCAGAAGCCCTATTTATATTGCATGTAGAATCCCACTTTTCTCATAAATGTCACAGCCTATGGCTGAAGCTTTGATAAGGTACTGAGGGCTAAGAAAAATCTAAATTATTCACCCTTGATGGGGCCAGCTGCTTATCAGGGCCATACAGAGCACAACACCCCAATGTCCCCACCTTTAAGGAATCCGTAGGAACCATTGTTATGTAAGCTGCATTTCCTCTAAAAGTGCTGAGAGCCAAGTTTTCTAAAGTCCTTGATATGGCAATAGCTTCCATCTCTGGCACCACTGAGGGGTTGGCTCCTCTATTACTGTTAGTTTTACAGATCAGAGTTTACTCCTCTAAATATTGTCACTCTCCTGTTAGCTCAGCACCTTGCTCTACTGACAAATACATTTACTTGGAAGCTAACCGGTTAGATGACAATGTACTGATCTCCACACTAGGGAAGTATGGAAAGTTAGTGGATCCCTTTCACAGATGAGGCAACTGAGGCTCGGAGAGGTTCAACCACTCACTCAGGAGTCACACAGGTAGGAAGTGGAGGAGCCTGGGTATGGACCAGGTTCACCAGCCAGTCTCTTCTCCACTGGCCTTCCCAGACGTCCCGGCTACTGAGTACCAAATCCTGCAGTACAGAGGATGCTGTCTCTACCCCTGAGAACTCCATCGATCATCCAGCCTCGCTTCCAAAGGGTAAAATGACCTTGATTTTCTCCTGGGAGCTTCTTAGAGAACACAATACAAAGTGTTGGTCCATAAGAATAGTAACAAGAATATTACAAATAATAACAACGTCTTACTTAGGGAATGTTTAGGCTTATCAACGTCCAGGTCCTGCCACTGTAAAACTCTGCGCAACCACTTCTGTTTTTTCCCTGGCTCTGTGATCGCTGCCACAAACACTGAAAGTCCTCTTCAGGAAGCAGCTGAGTAGCTATGCAGACCGGGGCTTCTCAAGCTCGAGTATGCCCTGGAACCACCTGGAGGTGCTGCACCCTTCGGCTGCACTGACTCCGGGGCCCCATCCCAGAGTCTCCAAAGCACTGGGTCTTATGTGGGGCGGAGGGAGACTGAGAATTTGTGCTTTCTGCAAGCTCCCAGGGGACAGTGATGCTGCTGGTCTGCGGGCCGTACTTTGAGAAAGAACTGCTGGTCTAAGAGGATGAACTGTGTAAAGGTAAAGAACAACCCCTTCGTACAGAAGCCCATAGACCCGTGGGTAAAAAACGCATGATCTATCTCCTTTAATAATAGAGCCCTTGGCAAAATGAACGATCCTGAGATTTGGACCAATACAAGTTTGCACAGATGCTCTTGGTTCCCTGCGAGTCCTTGGAAAGGGGCTTATTTCCCGAGGGCACAGCCTCCTCCTGGGGAAAGCAGAAATGTACTTGTTATCTCACAGTGCACTGCAAGGAACAAAGAGAAGCAAAATGAGAAATCACTCACACTGCACCTGGCTTGTGGAGGAAGTGCAGTAACAGACAGGTTTATTCTCTCTATTGGAAACATCTGCAAAGGCCCAGACAGGCAACTCCCAGCAGGAGCCATCAGGTTGAGATCTCAGTAGACTCGCACCACGTGCTTTAGCAGGACCTGGCAGCCAGAAGGGAGATGCTGGTGTGTTCAGGTGGGCGGTGGGAATGACTTCTGGGAAAGTGATGCGGCTGACTCCAAGAAGGATATATGGCCAACAACACTACCAGGTCAGGCTTCCTGCGAGAGGGCCCTACCCGAGCACCTCACGTAGGATCTGGAGGCCGGAGTCCACCAACCATGGTTTCCTGTGCAATGTCGATCAACGGAAGCCAGGTGGGGAGATGGATGGAACCATTTTCCCTTTAGTTAGCTCCCTCTCCAGTTTGTTTTTCTAAATTTTGCCCGTTTTCCCCTGCTCACTGCCTGTTTCTTGAGTTTTAATCTCCGTGTCTCACTTCTCGAACTACAGCCCATGGAACAGCAGCATCAGAAGACAGTGACGAGAACTCCCCGAAAACAAAGGCTGAGTGCTCTGTGTCAAATTGCTTGGGAACCCTAAGTACCACGCTTCCCTTCCTGGAAGTGTGTGGCATATGAATGTATTGGGTAAGTATTGCATGTTCTCTAGACATACATGCGTATTTGGAAGAGCTTCCGGTTCAGCCGCAGTTGGTAAACACTACCTCTCCACTCACGACCGTGGGCCCATTCGCACGCCCCCCCTTTCTGATGACATACTGCTGGCGATCGGCTGGAACTGTAGTGTGTTACAGCCGCGTGCAAAGCAGAAGGACAAGGCTCGGTGTGCAGAAGAGGGCCCAGTGCCCCTTTTCAGGTTTGTGGCCATTCTTCCAAGGCACCAAAGGCCATTTTGGTACCAGCACATGAATTTTCCCTGAGCGTTCCTGGTATGTAACCACTAACCAACGCTACTTCTCAAGGCTGTTTCCTCCCACATTGTGACATTTTATCTTCACAGCTTGTAGGACAGACAGGGAGGAAAATTATTCTCCCTGTTTTTAATTTGGATAAAGGAGAGAACGGGCTATTGAGACAGGGTGGGAACTGGGTCTCATCTGGTTCGCTATCCTGACAGAGAATGTGGTCAGAAAGACGCTCCACTTACCTGGCTGTGCCCCACGGCCACCGCCTTCTTTTCCAGGTCCAGGGTCTGAAGAAGATGCTCCACAGCCTGGAGCAAACAGAAAGACAAACTTAGAGGAGAAGAGGGACACGAAGTAGGAGAATGCAGAAGGGAAGGTGAGGCCAGCTGGGAAAGAGACAATGACTGCACCCCTCTCTGAGCTTCGCCTAACAGCTCCAAACCACACAGGCATGTGCAGAAGAGGAGCTTGGACTAAAACACCAATTCTTCTCATTCTCAGAACAACCTCCGGCTGAGCACGGTAGTACACTCAGGGAGGCTGAGGCAAGAGGATGGTAAGTCTGAGCCCAGCCTGGCTAACTTTACAACTTTTAGACTTAGTCTCTAAATAGAAAACATAAAAAAGGACTGGATATGTAGATCAGTATGGAGACCCTGAATTCGATGTCCAGTATCACAAAATAATAATAATAATAATGATAATAATAATAAAAACCACAACTTCTGCTGGGTTGTCCCACCTCCAAATCCATTTTACAGAGGAGAAAACAAAAGGTACAGAGCAAAATGAAGAGTGTGGCTGCTATGGAAAACCGTGCGGCAGTTCCTCAAAAGCTTAAGCATAGACTCTAGCAATCACCCTTCTGTATGTGTACCCAAAGAAATAAAAGCAGGGACTCAAACAAGTATCTGTATGTCAATGTCCACAGCAGCATTATTCACAACAGCCAAAAGGTAGGAACAACACAGAGGCATCCCCTGAGGGGTGAATGGATGAAGGAAATGTGGTCTGTCCATATAATGAAACAATACTCAGCCTGAAAAAGGAAGGAAATTCTGGCCCATGCTACCACATGGACGACCCTGGAGAGCGTCATGCTAAAGTGAAGTAAGCCAGTCACCAAAGGACAGATACTGTGAGTCCACGTACATAAGTTTCCCATAGAACAGGCAGTAGAAGAGAGATGGCCAGCGACTGGGGCTGGGGATGAGAGACGAGTAGTTCATGTTTAAAAGGTATGGAGCTTCGGTTTTACAAGATGTAGAAAGTCATGGGCAGAGAGGTATTAATGACAGCACCATGCTGTAAAAGTGCTTGATGCCACCGAAATGTATGCTTAAACATAGCTAAGATGGTAAATTCTGGGTATGTTTTAATGCACACACACACACACACACACACACACACACACACAAATTTTTAAACCCAAATGAAGGTAATTCTCTAAAAATAAAAGTTGGCACAAAGGACACAGCCAGATTCTCATCGAGGTCTGCCTGTTCCACTGCAGCATCTGCTCCCTGACCTGCTTCCCCTACCTAGGAGGAGCATGGGACACTGAAGGGCACTGTTCCCCTACCGTACTCGAAGTCCCCTCGGGACAGCCAACCAGCCCTCTGCGCTTCTTTCACTGTACTTACCAGCTCCTGCCTCACCTACAAAATAGTTGCTCCATAAATGGCTCTGCTATTAACTATATCTGCCGGCAGAGAGCTCGTGCGTATTCATCGCTTGTTTCCCATCACCCTACGGCCCTCACGCACAGCAGGAGCCGAATCCTTATTACAATAAACGAGCCTGCGTTCAGATAACAGAAGTGCAACGGGAGGGGTCAGAGAGAAGGAGCCCACGCAGGAGCAACAGATCCACTCAGGTTCCTGGATGCAGGGCTGACCACATCATGAGCCCGTCCCGTGGAATCGTCGTCCCCTCGTCAAATAATCACACGGGTTGTGAACAACCGCGCCAGAGACGTGTGCCCTCAGATAAATGCCGGTCCTGCCTGGTTCCTTGGTGGCTGCCAACTCCCCTCCCACCTCCCGCTCATGTCACCCCTCATCGGTCTTCCATTCACTGAAAATCACAAAGTCTATTTTAAGCATAAACTGTCAAAAGCATAATTGCAACACTCAGGAAGCAAAAAAAGTGGGATGAGATTGGAGTCACTGAGCAGATGAGATTCGATTCCATGGGTCAGCAGCATCACAGAACACTTCCTAAGACACCCCCAAAACGCTACTTATTAAAAGTCTATGCCTAGACTGCAATCAGGAAGACAGTTTTATCTTCTGACCTCTTTAAAGAACATTCTACAACACTCCTCCAAAATTTCAGTGGTTTCACTTATTACATTTTAGCCAAAAATGTTTCAAGGGAGTTGTAGGTGGTAGAAATGCATAAAACCAATATATCTAGAATAAATATCTAGAATATAATGTCTCTTCTTTTGCACAAGAAAAAATGTAATAAAAATTGGATGGAAACAGGATGAATGGAAAAATGTATAATCCACGGCCAGTGAAATTTTTCTGTCTTGGAGGTAAACTCTAGGGTAGATGTTTAGAGAAAAACTGTCAAAACCTGGAGTTGGATTTGCCCAGCTTCAGGTCTTGGTTTTATCACCCCTAAACTGACCTCAAGCAAGTACTTTGCTTGAGCCTCAGATTCCTTGCTGGAAGAAGGGAGAAATTACGGTTCTTGTCTTGGTAGATTCTAAGGCTGTACTGCGGAGGGCTTTGCACAGAACAAGCACTCAATAAATGTTAGAAGCTATTCCATGCCCATCGTCACCAGTATTAGACAAAACTCGGTAGAGATTCTGCCGCACACAGAAGGCTTCCTTCTCTTAGCTAAACCCCAAACACTGCCAAAGAACACGGTCAGCCACCATGATAACAGAGAGCTCTGCTCCATCCCCTTGTTTTCACAGAATCCTTAAGACGTCTGTGCAGCCAAGAATTTCAGCCCTAATAAAGATGCTGTATTCTGTTCTGGTGACCTCGTCTCACAGCCAAGCAAGCACCGGAGCAAAGGATGGAGCAGGTAAATGCAAACGTGATGCTGTGTATCTGACCTCGAGCTTCCCTGCAGCGTGGAGATAATGCCCTCTGCCTGGCCCATACAGCACTTGGGAAGATTAATTAAGAATATATGAAAAGCACTTTGTAAATGACTTTGTACTTAATGGCTGTTTTGGTTACTCTGATTAATAATATTATTAGAGTGAGTGACATGCAATTGCTCTTTGTTTAGGCTAAATATCAATTATTTCATTTTGTTCAACACAATGCAATCATTATCCAGCAGCCACTTGGTAGAAAAAGACGCAGCACGAATGGGGGGTTACAAGAGAAACGTCTGCTTCGTCCTGCCCTTTACAGAATCGACACGTCCTTGGATCCAAACTGTCCAGGTAATGGAGGTTTATTGCTCAACACCAAACACCACTTTGAAGAGTAAGATATTTGCCATTTTGCTCCAAGGAAACAGCCTGCAATCTTTTTTCTAGGTCTGAGCACTGCTCGAAGGACTTACACATAACAACTCGTTTTTGTTTTCAAGTCTCTGCAATAGGTAATTGTTTCATCCAAATTTTACAGGAAAAGAAACCGAGGCCCAGTGGGAAGAAATGACTTTGCAAATGTCCACGGGCCTAGAGTGTGTGACGGCCGGGGGTCCAGAGACTTGTGAGCCTGCTCTCCACCTTTCAACACTGATGTCCAGCCCAGTCCCAATATCCACAGGCTGCGTGACCCTGAGCACTCACCCTTTCTCTGTGGTTCTCAGCTCCTTTTTCTAGAAATGGGGCGATCATACCTGTACCACAAGGGTTGTAGTGGGATTGTACGAGGGCCGTAAAGCAGCATGTAAGAGTGAGACTCCAGACTGGTGGAACAAGGAGCCTCTCCCCTTTCCCCGCAAATGATGAAAATGGATAAAATTCCCCAAGGATCAAGTTCAAAACTTGGGAAAGGGACTTAACAAATTGGGAAGCATTTATTGAAGACAGACTCCTGAACCTCAGAGGGAACAGTGAGAGTTGGTGGCAATCATGACTGGGCTCTCGCCTCCTCTTCCCTATCCCGCTCCCCAGCTCTGTCCCTGCAGAATTCCCACCATCAGGAAACAAACTGTGAAAGTTAGCAGCTTTGCTGCAGGAAGGGATTCACTTGTACAGTGCAAGGGATGAAACCAGCCCTTACCTGGGGAGAGCTGGAAACAGTCACAACCTTGGCAGCAAACAAATAGGAAGGACAATGGCATTGCTAAGACTAAAGCAGTTGTCTTGGCCACGGCAAACAACAGACCACACACAAGCCAGAAATTTAGCAAGGAGTCCTAGGAAATGGGACAGCCCACCTGGGCTGAGTTAGCATGGGTCTGGGGAACGGTATAAAAGGAGAACGGTGGGGGGGACTGTATGCTGATTGGCTCTGGAGAAGCTTCAGCAGTTCTCTTTGCCAAGGACGGCTGTTCTCTTGGGAGGACCTCTCCCCCACCTTGAGCATCTTCTGCTGGCCTTTGGCACAGACACTTTGGCTGGGAGCTCTGGTCTTCGCCTTTGCCTTGGGCATTGTCTCCTGGTTCTCTGTGTGGATTTTTCGGCTTCCAGCACTGGCCTTTCACCTGCCAGCACAGACTCTCTAGCCTCCAGCGCCGGCCCTTGGACTTTCCAGAACAGATGCTTCAGTCTTCCATCACAGATTGCTTGGCCTCCTGGTGCCACCTTGCACGGGACATTGTCATGAACTCTAGGCCTTTGGCTGGGACATTGCTATGCGATTCAGGTCCTTGGCTGGATTCGTCAGGTCTCTAGCACGTGGACAGATCTCTTGCATTTTTCTACATCTGACTCTAATAAACACTGACTGACACAAAGTTCCTATCTCTTTCTGGCTCAAACTAAACACAAGAATAAAAGAGACTGGCAGGGCCCTAGCTGTTTTTGAATATCCCTCTTTGAACAGAAGGCCAAATGCATAGGCAGAAGAGACAGAAAAGCAAAAAGTAGAGCCCCTGATCCATACAGAGATTCATCAGCAGAATGTTAACACTGCACAGATCTGAGTCTCACAGCCACCCCAGCTGACCACCAAGATACATGTATACAGGGGCTACCACTAAAGATCCAGGCTTTAAAATGAAAAGAATTTTTAAAGAACTGGTCAGAGATGTCAGTGGTCCCACACCAAAGGAAGGAAAGAGTCCAGAAATCTAGTCAACAAGTTCCTAAATAGTTATGAAAATATTAAAATCTAAAATTGCTAGACGTTTTAGCTAGGATGACCAGTTCAAATGAGTTACA